GTTAGGGCTTACGGTGACACCATGTTGAAACATTGGTTCTCGTAGCATTACCGAGGTTAATCAACGTCAAGACTAGTCGATCCCTAGTGACTTCTTAGGTACTACAAGTCTCGATATGAAGGTGGCGTGATCGGAATTTGAAATCGCAGAGACTAGTTACATTTCCAATCGGGTTCTTTTTATATTTGTTGTGGTAGGATCCACCTAATTTGCATAGTGGAGTACCGACCATATAAATAGGGTTGGTACCGGGAAGAGAGGAAGGAATCAAGAGATTCAACCAGAGACTCTGTCCGACTGCGACTCAGTCAACACATTCTCTAGGAACGGTCTTACCAGGAATATACAAAAGACTATATGTAAATATTGTGTACACTTTCGTGTTTCAATACATTTTGTTCTAAGTACATTTTGTGTTGCATTATTATTCTATGCATTAGTCAAGTTTCAACAATATTCCCTTACGATCAAATACTCTTGGGAAAGGTATGAACGAATCCCATCTTCTACCTCGAGCTATGGGTTAATTAGTAGTGCCTGTATCATAAATCTTTATTAGTTCCAAATACATTTCTTACAGTTTAAAAATATCCTGATTTAAATAGCCTGAATAAAAATACCCAAACGTTATTCAATCGTTCAAGCCAATGATTTGGGACTAAAATCAAAAACAATAGGATGTAGTCGTACTAAAAATGAAATAATCCCAATAAGCCTAAAGTACTGATAGAAAGCTACACTAATAAAATAAACCGCCCCTCTCTCCTCTCGCTTGTAACCATCCACCACAATAAAGTAAACGCTTTTCAGCACAAAAGCGGAATGAGTCAAATAAAGTCGAAGTAGGCGAAAATGTGTCAGGTCAAATAACCCAATCTTAAAACGTGAGAACCAAAATATCATGACAAATTAGAGTCATCCCGACGATGAGAAAGGCCCCGCCAGATAAACATCAGTTGATGGATTTTCTTCTATATGAATAAAATACTCGGGGAGAATTTGGTAATAAAATAAGCACCTCCCATCTCTCCTCTCGCTTGTAACCATCCACCACAATAAAATAAACGTTTTTCAGCACTAAAGCTAAATGAGTCAAATAAAGCTCCCTAAACTTCTACTTGGAGTTGTTACTATATTATAGTGGAGTAAACGAATTTTTCCTTGACAATAACAATGAAGAATGTATTAATGCAAAAGTGTTGAATAAAAACAGAAGTAATTGTAATTTAATACATCCGTGTCAGTTTTCTGATAGAACTCTCAAAAGAAATTTGAATCCTTTCGATTTATTGGGGCTTGCTATAGTGTTAGCGAATTCTTATTTTTAGTGAAATCGTTTTTGTTTTTTTAACAATCATCTTGAAATTTCAAGACTATTTATTAATCTCTATGGCTTTCTTCTTTCTCAAATCTCATTCTGTGATATTTTTTCTCGCGAGATTATACCGAATTATTCATTTTTTTTGTTATTATTTTCATAGTGTGTTCACAGCATACATCAGCATCATTCAGATTTTTCTTTGTCCACGCATGCGTTTTATATATTTCTTTCTTTGTCTTCTTTGTTCGAATTTCGCTAGTTTTCATCGTTACGTGACTTATTCACATTAAAACGTGTAAAAAAGAAAACAAGATCTTATTTCATTTTCCCTTCTTCGAAAAAGGCGGACCCATTCAGCGTTTCCATGAAAATAAATAACGCAAATAAATAAATAAGTTCGACAAAATCGAATCAACGGAATGAAATATTGATACAAGAAGGTCTTGGGATGAAATAACAAAAATTTCAAAAGGCATGTCATGTGTTTTTTTGTCCACAAAAATATGTCTTAATAGAAAGAAAAAAAATTATTGACAATGCTGTTACCAATTAATCAAAATGTCTTATTTTCTTTCTTATTATTTAAAATTTTATTGGACAGATTGCGAAGGTCGAACTGGCGATTCATCGAAAGTCTCTCATTACTACCGTGTCTTTGATGGAGAAATCGCAGAGATACGTTTGCTGCATGTTGTGGCTGCCGAAAACATTCTACAAAGACATATATGGCCGAGAAAATTTTAAAAAAAATTCCATGACTACTGGACCTATAAAAGAATGCAGATATACACATTAAAAATGGCAGACAACCCATCGCTGAGATACAATATTAATGTGATTAAAGTTAGCAGGGAAGCCAAATCCATAGTTTTCACACTCCTTTGAAAAACCTCTGTATCTTTGACCATGACTTCAGGAGTGTACTCACCACGCTTAGCTAATTGCGGGTTGGTAGGAGTATTTTAGTTTGGGATTTAGTGTAGTTACCCTAGTCAATTTGCAACCCAAGACTATAAAACCCAGTCTGTCCTGTTATTTACCCATAACTGGTGGGAGATGGGCAGATAGAATTAAGACATTTCCCAAGTGCATTTGAATCTAAATGAATGCAAAAAACTCGACTAGAATTCGAACTCGGCTCTTCGATTTATCTATCGCAAGCCCCTATCCATTTTCCTCCCGTGGGTCATTGTGTGGTTAAAGACTGATATGGCAATGGCATAACTATATATCAATTAGTTCCTTTTCTCGTAATTCTCGCTTGTGGAACTCTCTTCCCCCTCCATGCTTTCCAGCGCACTTTGCTGTTCAAAAATATAAATGCAAAGTAAATCGCGTTCTACTGTCCTCCTGCTTAACCTTTTTCTCGTTTTCCACAACCTGTAATCACTTTTGCCTTAGAGGTTTTACTGCCATGCTTAGAGTGAAATCGATTAAAATATTTGCAACACTATTCGAATAGTAACATCGTAAAGGAAATATGAACACTGTACATGTTAAGTATCACTTAACATCAGAATTTATACTATGAGAATGAGTGTATTTAATAAAGCACCTTATTCCAAGTCTTGTGTCATGGCCCGATCAGTTATTGAACAATATATAAAGCGTAAAAATGTGACGTTCCCCGCGGTGTCGCCGCTCCAAACGTGACGTCCGTCTGCCTGCGTCCGTCGTGCTACCCTGTCTTGTGACGACCAACTGGCTTGGTATTGGTCGCGGCACCCAAATGTGACGTTCTAACCTTTTGCTGATTCGGATGGGAATCTGGTTAGATTCGATATCAGCCTCGTCGTTCCCAACTCGCCTCCAACGTCTGGTTACCGAAGTAACTGCTTTGATTTCTAGTCTAACCTACTCACGTTGTGAATTGATCTTAGGTAGACGAAATCAATCAGTCGCCGGGGCCGTAATGCAAGCTGAGTTCGAATAAGGGTGATATCGCACAAGTATATGTAAAAGAAAATAAAATAATAACTCGAAAAGTTCAAATGTGTTAAAAAAGGATACCAATACTTTATATCTGGTTGCTGAGTACAGGACTGAATTTTCTTCCCAAACCCGCATTATGGATTCGTGACGCTTTGTGTTTGTTAGGCGAGTCTTAACATCTTAAGTTGTTTGTTCTTTAAGAAACTGGTTCTTGGTGTACTTTCAGGCGAAATTCGTAAAACTTGTTTTGGTGGTGTGAGTCTAAGTCGTTCTTCAAAAATAAATTGTTCTTGATTAGAAGATGAGTTCGGAATTTTGCGTGAAACTTTCAAGTCAGCTATCTGCGAGGCTCTGCCAATTGCCAATTCCAACCGGATCTGGATCTGGAACTGCCCGAACTGGAAAATTGAACTGATTTTCGCTCGCTGCGACTTTGCTTATATGGAGGCCGACCAAAACCGGGGTGGGCTTGTCGGGGTTTGAGGTTCCTTGATAATTCCAAACCCACAATCCACTTCTTTGTTTTCGGTCAGGAACATTTTATTCTTTTCCATTTTTGGAAGTTTTCTCGGACTCCCACCTTCTTCTGTTCTCATATTGGTATCTCCCCATGCCCTCAGAGGGCGTCAACGGTTTTCCCTCTTTCTCTCACAGTGACATCCCACACCTATCCCCTCAGTGGGTGCCAGCGGGCCTTTCCCCCTGCCTCACATGATCACCTCCTCCTGGCTCTGGTTAACATTCATCCAGTGGGCGCTCAGCAGTTTGGGTGTGGCCAGACTAGCCTAGTTTTGTTTTTTTTTTAAATCTTGCTCAAAGAAAAAAAGAATTTTATCTTCTTTTTTTCTATTTTTCTGTTTTTTTGTTTTTTTTTCACTTTTCCTTTCCTTTCTTCTCTTCGAGGAAACTCACACCCTAGACTTTTTTTTTATCTTTTAACCGAATTACTTGGAATTCGTCAAATGGGATTTTCGCCAATTAACAAGTGGGTGGTCAACTGATACGATAAAACAATTTCGCCAATTCACAGCCGAATTCATATGGAGGTCGTCAACGAAATTTTCGCCAATTATCAAGTGGGTGGTCAATTAAACGTATTTTGCATTCTTGATGCCAATTTCTGATAAAATAGTTTCGCTGTCATAGCCGAATTTCAACACAAAACGATATCTTCCGATCGACAAAGGCTGAACCTATGGTTTGGTCTTTTTTTTTGCAACTCTTCTGTGGTCAACGGACATTCTTGTTTCTCGGTCAGCGGATGACCTATTAAATTTTTATCTCTTTAGAATTCTATGGAGGCCCCAAATGGCATTCCCGTGACACAGTTAAGTGTTTATCTATTTAGAATTCTGTCTCTGAGGTTATTTGTCCAAACTGGAACCTCCACCCGCCCCGTAACCTAAATCAGATTAATTCCAGTATATTCTTTTTTTTTCTTCTTGACAATAGGAAATAAAAATTTTACCACTTTCCTTGTCAGAAAAATAACACCACATAGTGTACTTTTCGTGATGGTTTTTTATCATCTAAATTTAATTCTCGCCTTTCTTCTCTTTCTTTCTTTCCTTTTTCCTTTCTCCTTCTTGCAACCCTAAATGGTGTCACAAAAAGGAAAAAAAAAGAATTAATAAGGGAGAAGAGAAGAAAAATGAAGATGGTATAGAAGTAGTAGTAGTAGTAATAATAATAATAATAATAATAATGAGAAGAAGAAGGAAGAGGAGAATATGATGAAGAAGAGGGGTTAGGAAAAGAAGGAGGAAGAGAAGAAAAATAAGGAAAAAGAGGAATAAGGAAGGATAATAAAAATAATAGTGATAAGAACAGCCAAGAATAAGAAGAAAAATACGAATAAGGAACAAGGAGGAAGAAAAAGAGAGAAGAAGAAGAAGAAGAAGGAACAACTACAACGAAATAATAATTGGAGAAGGAGGAAGAGAAGAAAAATAAGGAAAAAGAGGAATAAGGAAGGATAATAAAAATAATAGTGATAAGAACAGCCAAGAATAAGAAGAACAATACGAATAAGGAACAAGGAGGAGGAAGAAGAAGAAGAAGAAGAAGAAGAAGAAGAAGAAGGAACAACTACAACGAAATAATAATTCGAGAAAGAGGAAGAGAAGAAAATAAACAAGGAGGAAAAAAGAGGAATAAGGAAGGATAATAAAAAAATAATAGTGATAAGAACAGCCAAGAATAAAAAAGAACAATACGAATAAAATAAGAAGAACAATAGGAAGAAACAAGAAGAAGAAGAAGAAGAAGAAGAAGAAGAAGAAGAAGAAGAAGAAGGAACAACTACAACGAAATAATAATTGGAGAAGGAGGAAGAGAAGAAAAATAAGGAAAAAGAGGAATAAGGAAGGATAATAAAAATAATAGTGATAAGAACAGCCAAGAATAAGAAGAACAATACGAATAAGGAACAAGGAGGAAGAAAAAGAGGGAAGAAGAAGAAGAAGAAGAAGAAGAAGAAGAAGAAGGATGAGGAGGAGGAAGACCTATAGACTTATATCTATCTTGATTTCATTAAATTGCAAATGTAGTAAAATAATTCAGTTTCCAAAAAAAACATTGAACACATAATGGATATCAAACCTGTGTTTAATAGGCTTTTTTTTGTTTTATTTATAATGTCAGAGTTTAAATCATCTGCAAGTTATCGCCGTTTTCTCTGCCGTCGGGAAAAAGATCATTTTACCCTAATCCTTGTTGTACGTGGTGTTTTCTTTTTTATCAAATATTCATCAAATATAAGGCCCAATAAGCATTCAGGGTGGACGGTTATCGAATGAGTTTTGTTGTATATTAGGAAACTAAGAAGGGGATATTAGAAGGATATCAAGGTTAAATTAGTGTTGAGCCTAGAGACATGGGGTAGGGGTTAAGTTTCTTTTGATCGTATACGCACCATTGCGGGAGTTTGTTTCACAAAGTTGAAATTCTAGAAAAAAAAATCAAATTGAAGAGAAATTCATATTTATCAGTGAAATCCAAAATGAATGAGTGCGATTCGAACCTGTGTACCTGGAATACCAGGTATGAGGTTGGAGGGTCTCAGCTGCTGGAAGTAAAGTACGTAGCTCGTCTGAAAATATTCCGTGGAACTAGCGTGGTTTTGGCAAGCTTCCTTTCTGAAGGATGGATGTCTTTAAAATGGCATCAATCGATTTAGAACACGTGACCAGTGTAAACTTCAATAACGGGTCGTCCTACCAATTCTGATGTTAGTTTAAATATTATTTCAAATTTTTCATATCACCCAATCAATGGTGAGCCATTGATTGGGTGATATGAAAAATTTGTGAGCTCGAGATCTATGAGTTCATCTCAAAAGTTACCTCAGTTGGGTAATTGCACAGCGTCCCCTAAAAGGGGAGTGAAATTAGACTTTCGAAATTCCACATTAAACTCGACCTTGTGTCAAATTTTCTACTGAGTGGACGTACGAATAAATACTTGCAATGTACAAGTTGGTCCGAAAGTCTTGTCAACCAATATGAAAAAGTAAGGAGAACATTAGAACAAGTAATACAGTAATACAAAGTCGTGTCACACTTCCTCCATGTTCTTGCTAGAATGCGCACGATCATGCCTTCATACCCTTGCAAGCAGCCTCTTTTCCAAACTGAAGGAGCTCGTGTGAGCCATCTGAAATAGAAAATTATATTATGTAGGGTGACAAAAATTTCGAAAGAGCCAGTAGTAATACGCGTTTCTTTATGTAGAAATATCCGAAAAGCCAGTGCTAAATTCATATGAAAATTATAAAACCATTTGTAATGAAAAACAATTCCCAGGAAGAGATTACTTAAATCCACTAACTGTTATCACACTTTCCAAAATTGGTGAGGGTTTCCTTACTAACCTTTTGTTCCAATCCCTGTGTAAATTCAACATCTGGATTATGCTATAATTTGTCTTCACATTTCAGATGATATCCATCTGATTTCTTAAGTGATTTGGCTTCTGTTATTTGGTACAGTTCTTTGCTTATCATACTGTAGCGGTAGTCCGCAAGTTTGAAAGCAGTATGGTCCCCACTAAGACCTACAGATATTATTCAATTACCTTCTTTTTTAATCATTGTTTTGAGAAAGCTCTTGTAGAGAACTGACAGTTTAGATATTTTATGAAAGAATTTTGTGCCATGCATGACATTTATATCAAATTCTCGACATTATTTTGAGAACATTGCAAATTTTTCGGAATATATTTTGGCTTCGTAGCAATTGGCGGTTTTGTGCAAAACTACTACAAGTGTAGTCTATTCTGTGTTCATTTCCCTTATTTCTCATTCAAAATGCGTTACAACTGATCCACACACCGAAGTATTTGAACTGTTTAATGTTTACTAATTCATTATATTAATTTTTTATGATATTTTCAATACTTGCCTTTTCATGTAGAACGGGATCATCATAGACTTACGCCACACCATATTGAAACACTGGTTCATCTAATATCACCGAAGTTAAGTCACACAGAGCATGGTTGATGGATGGGAATACCAGGTGCTCTAAGTTTGGATGTGCAGGAGGTATAATGGATAATGGGCTAAGAATTGTTAAGCAGAATTCCAATTCATTTTTTTTATATTGACTTACGCGCAAATACTCTTGGGAAAAGTATAAATACGCCCCTTCTCTCCCCAGCTATGGGTTAAATAGTAAAACTTGTATCACTAAACCATTATTATCTCTAAAAACATTCTTACCATCTAAAACATTGTACGGCTTTAAATAATCGACGAGAAGTAGATAAGCCGTAAAAGGGTAGCAATCAATCGAAATATCTTCAAATTTGACAGACATAGTGCTTTTTTCAGGCAAAATTTAAAAGTGTACACGATGCAGCGGTTGGTTAGCGATCATTTAGCGTTTCATTGCCATTAAAGAATCCCAAATGGATATTTTTTCGTCTATCCCACCTCATATATGATATATTATGGTAGCTAAGTTAGAATATTACTTATGTCATTAAAATTGTAATTACTCTTGTGGCCTGTTTAGGGGCCAGAAAGAAAGACAAGGAAGACGAAGGTCGGTTGAAAAAAAAAAAAAGAAGATATTGAAGATGTATACAAAAACAATAATGTTAGTAATAAGTATTAGGTTGGTGCAAAATAATGTCGTTTTTTGACGTTCAATTTAACGTCCAAAACGACATTATTTTTGCACCAACCTAATAGATTAGCACTGCCTCTACTACTCCACTCCACTTCACACTCTGCGCTCCCGGCCGACTGTCGCAGTTTCTATTTAAGAGAGAAAGTTGGGTAATTGCACAGCATTTTATCCCATAAATATACCATACGTTAAAACTTTATTAACACACACATACACACACACACACACACACACACATATATATATATATATATATATATATATATATATATATATATATATATATATTTATTTAAATAGGTTTGAAACGGTACAAAAGCGTATTAAGGCATTAAAAACTAGAAATGTTGTATTGCAGGCCATGATAAGTTTAAAATAAAACACACACCAGTCGACCAGTTTCGTCCCCTCTCGTCAGAACTGTTAACGGGGAATTTAGATTATGAGGAAAAGAAAAAAGTCTGTCATGGGTGACATGAATGAATGGACAGGGAAGGAAGGAAAAAAAAAAATAAAATAAAATTATACCAACCAAGCTGCTAGAAGCGCAGAACAGCAAGTCCAAGCAAACAATCTCTTTGTTTGCAAAGAGAAGGCTGCCTGGACCTGATGTAAAGCGACTCCAACACCTTAAGATGGAAAAGTGAGTGCGAACTGGCCAAGACGGAAAACCAGTTCACACTGAAATCCATCGCACAAGTTGGATTCTTTATAAAATGATCCGCAATCGAAGACCCATACGTGTTACGAATGGTATCGCCCAAAAAAATATATATATATATATATATATATATATATATATATATATATATATATATATGTTATTGTTTATTTTACTGTAAGAGGGTTTATCACAACAGTGACTGTGGATCCAAAATAAGAGATAAAAGTTGTGTAGAACGGATACCTAAATCTTAATTCGGACAAGACAGGAAATGAAGCAATAACCCAATTCATGTGTAATTTTATTAGATTTTTAGGAAAGATTCAGTAGCGCCAGTTATGATTGATATATCATAAAGCTGTTCTATGAAGACGATCTCATTCTTCTAAAATTCCCGGCAGACAATCCTCTTTTACCATTTCCTCAGATATGGGGAAATGATTGTCTATCAAATAAGCGTACCACAGTGATGTCTGTAAGAAAATGTCATTAAGAGTCTCAGACATCTTTTCTCGAATTGGCTTTGTTGACGCTAAGAAGATTGTCGATAGAGGAAAGCCGGGAAAGGAGATGCGATTGGCGGGTTTCATGCCGGCTTGTTTGAAGGCGAAACAATGTGGTAATGCCAAGGATATTGCGATTAAGTTCAGATATTTAATAAATACCTGAAAGGGAGATGACAGCCTGCATTTATTTTAAAGAGCAATCTCAAACATACGCGTATACATACATATATATATATATAGAGATTTGTAGAGTGGTTATATATATATATATATATATATATATATATATATATATATATATGAACGTTGATATATATATAGAGAGTTGTAGAGTGGATATATATATATATATATATATATATATATATATATATATATATATGAACGTTGACTTCAATGTCCACTTTATATTGACTTACGCTCTACCCTGATATTGATCACTTTATCCCATATATATACCATACCTTAAAACTTTATATTAACACACACACACACACACACATACACACAAAAACACACACACACATATATATATATATATATATATATATATATATATATATATATATTATAAATTAATTGATTTAAAATAATTTTTCGCTACAGTTCTAACCATGTTTGAAAAATGGAAGCTATAAGCTGCGAATTTAATTTTGATTTTTAAATTAAAGACATTAGTTCAATTTCATCCTCAAGCGAATACATATATATATATATATATATATATATATATATATATATATATATATATATATATATATATATATTCAGACAGGTTTCGTTAAATAATGTAGACACGTTCTGTCGACTCCTTTCATATTCGCGATTAGGCTTTTTGATGCGGTAATTAAAAGACGAAATGAAAACACCGTCTTGGTTCATATTGTATTTATTACGAGCAGTTTCGACATAGCATAATGTCATCATCAGGATATTGTTAAATATAGAGTAAGTATTACTCTATGTGATTGTGAAAGACAAAAATTGTTGTGGTCATCCGAAGATTACCATTTTTATATGACGAGTCACAAACTCTGTTTGACAGACACCGTTTGTAAGGGGAGGTAACTAGGGATGCTGTAGAAAAATTCAGGTCTCGTGTAGTCGCTAGATAAAGGAAAAAATATTAATGACAAGCACTAACATTTAAAGACTTTTTGAAGTTTGGTGGTCATTTTTTTTATACAAATCGAAAAAAAACTTATTCGTGAATATGAAGGGATTATATCGAAAATAAGTTGACAGAACATGTCTAAATTATTTAATGAAACCTATCTGAATAAAAAAAGCTGCCGAAATAAACGCATTTCATATATATATATATATATATATATATTTAAAAATTATAACATAAATATGTTATAAAATCACTCCAAAAATAGCCATATTGTTTCAACACCTCCGGTGTCTTATCACGTGATGCCGTTGAATTTAGATTATTCTACATTCAACATCATCACTTGATAAGACATCGGAGGTGTGGAAAAACAGTGGCTATTTTTGTAGCAATTTTATAACATATTTGCCTTATAATTTTTAAATAAATTATTATACATGTTCTACTCTGTATTGAGCACTCTTTTAAGAATAGTAATTGTTGGTTATTGGAATTTATTCCGTATACACTAATCTATACTTGGGTGTATATATATATATATATATATATATATATATATGCATTATGTTTACTTAGAGATATACGAGTGAAATCAGCATTGTTACATATCTTACATATTATTGGAATTTATTCCGTATACACTAATCCTATACTTGGGTGTATATATATATATATATATATATATATATATATATATATATATATATATATATATATATATATATATATATATATTGGGGCAAAAGTAGGCTTCCACTTTATGTATTTATAACATGTTATTGCATTTATATTTATTTGTTCCAATCATATATGTTCAAAACTGTTTATGTCCATTTTTTAACAATTTACTTATATTTTTTAAGCAGAGTTTAATATCTTAAGTGCTGAATTTGCCCCCTTCAACATTACAACATTCCTCGAAACTCTACCGAACACTTAGACACAAAGGACAACACATATCCAGATCTGCATCAATTTCAATGAATACATCTGATATATACTCTTTTAATTCGTCCACTGTATGCGGATTACTCTCATAAACCTTGTTCTTTACTACACCCCCATCAAGAAATCCATTGGTGTTACATCAGGGAAACGCGGTGGCCATTCGAAAAAAAAAACGCTGTGAAAATGTTTGTTTAAGGTAGACCCTTACTGTCAAATCATCTTGGAGATGTTCTCCATTTTGAAATTATTATTTGGATTAATTAGATCTAAAAATTGAAACAAATGATGAAACAACTGTAAGCCTAATTTTGCCCACCACTATATATATATATAGGGCAATATATATATATATATATATATATATATAGGGATATATATATATATATATATATATATATATATATATATATATATATATTTCATTAAAAACAACATACAAGGTACTACAGTTAAGCTTTTTATTTAATTTTTCTTGTGTTCTAACAAGAGCTTTCTTTTCTGGACACAGGGTGTGTAAGAATTGTCCAAATGTTTTATATTTCCGAACGCTTTCGGCTATACCTTTAGCCATTATCAAGGATGATTCGATTTTTCAGCTTAATTGAAACAAATCGAATCATCCTTGATAATGGCTAAAGTTCATACACACCCTTTGTCCAGAAAAAGAAAGATCTTGTTAGAACAGAAGAAAAATTAAATAAAAAGCTTAACCGCAGTATCTTATCTATCGTTTTTAATTCAACATACATAAAGGAAGGATTGCTGCCTAAATATACAACTATATATTTATATATATATATATATATATATATATATATATATATATATATATATATATATAGTTATATATATATAGTTATGCACAGACTGTTTAACTGTATCACAGCTCATCTGTGTGGCTAGACATGCTATTGCTTAAAGCCGATACACAAACTGCAGTCCAAAATCTCTACTGAATATAATATATAGAAATTTGAAAAATGAAAAACCAAAGGAAAGATTAAAACGTAATCTTGTTTTCGTTTATAACAAGGAAAATTGGAATACTGAAAAATGAGATTAAATAGTAGCTGGTCAAATTTTTAGACATTTTTTAAACGAAGATTTAATTGGTAAACACTTAACGAAATTTAATAGTTTGTGTTCAAGCATTAGCGCAGTCAACATTTATCACTGTTATCTAATGAGATTAAACATTTATCACTGTTATTTAATGAGATTAAATAGTAGCTGGTCAAATTTTTAGACATTTTTTAAACGAAGATTTAATTGGTAAACACTTAACGAAATTTAATAGTTTGTGTTCAAGCATCAACATTTATCACCGTTATCTCCTGCGTTAGATTGGTTTAAAACAAGGACAATGGTAAAAAATGACGAAGTTTTTACATGGCAAATGGTAAAAAAATGGCCAGATTCGACGTAGTAAAACTGCTGTTGCAAATATCTTAGCAGAACCTGGGGGATAGGCAATGAGAATTTCAAGTGGAAGGTGAAGAAAATTTCGTTAGCGTTGAGCAGGAGATTTCCATGGATTCTCTCCAGCCGATCAGCGAAAGCAGATTATGGTCCTTAAGTCTGCATAATGCAGCTCAAAAACAATAAAGGCGCATGAAACACGATCTGGTTAATTAGAAACACGTATGAACATACTTTGTTATAGATAATTTATAAATTAACTGTGAAAGCTATCATGGTTATCTAAGTGTAGTAACTATAATTGGCGTAGTTGTAACTTAAAAAAACAAAAATAAATCTTTCTAACTATGGATTGGGTAAGAAATCTCCTATCTTTTAATATAAATTTTAAAAATATTCCATGGAATGCGAAAATGTACAAACACGAGAAATATTATTGATCCCTCACTTTAGGCTGCACTAAATATTTAACGAAAGTCATAAAGACAATGGTTGACATCGTCACAAATACAGTTTTCATTATTTGTCCAATTGAAAAATCGTTTTTACTTTTTACAATTTGTGCATTTTTAAACATGATTGTTATAGGCATTTTCAAACGTAATCATAATTAACCTCACTATAATTTTATACAGAGGGTCTCAAGAATTTGAATTTTTCGACTAAGCAATTAATTTCTGAAGATGATCTTGAATAAGATTGAAAGTACTTGGAAAATTAAAAGAAATGAAAAAACTACGGCGCCTTCCTTAATGAATTTAATATAAACATTAAGAAACTTATCCGAGAATTCGAGTGGAAATAAATAGAATAAGAGAGGGAAGGGAGATTTTTAAAAAAATATTTTTATTTTTATTACAATACTTAATATTGAGGAGCAGCGGGTAAGGATAAGACACTGACCTTTGTAATCGGTCAACTCACCGGAAATGATATGGGAAAAAAAGAAGAAAAAAAGAGAAAGTGGGGAAGTAAAGAGATAAGAAATAAGAGATGGACGTAGGGTTTTGAAGAAAGGAGAGGGGGTGGAATAGCTTGATGTCTTTTTCCATATACATACATACATACACACACACGCACACACACACACACATATATATATATATATATATATATATATATATATATAAATAAGAGAAATATGTTGTAGAAAAGTATGTATATTAAAAAGAAGAGAAGAGAGGTGCCGCAAACGTTTTTGGTTGTATTGTGGATTTATTTAGAAAAAAATATTATGCTTTGTTTTACATGATTTTACGACACGTGTTTCTGATCTCGCGACCGTCTTCAGGTAAAAGTGGAGATTTCCCCATATTATTAAAAATAATTAATTTTCCTTCATGTTCAATGTGAAATATTCTCGATATGAGACATTCTCTGTTTGTGTGTTGGTAATCCGAATTTCTTTCTAGAATTGTCAATGAAGAGTTCTGCGCGAAGAATCATAAAAGAATTAAGCTTGGTCCAGCGAGTAGTTATCGGCATTTTATCTTTTAATGTTTTAGTGACCCCTATGTGCTCTTGGATCTGTTTCCATTTTGGTGTGTTCCTGTCAACATGCGTGTATATATGCGTGCGTATATTTCCCCTCCATACATATACTGTCTTACTCCGAGGAATTCGTAAACTTATTTGTACCTATACACGCATACACACACATACGCACATACACACTATGTATATATATATATATATATATATATATGAAAAAAGACAAAAAAGATTATTTTAGTTGACACATTTCGTCCTCTGAGGAACATTATCACGGCACATTTCCTTGTGTCTTTTTTTACAGATATACTCTTTTGAAGTTTTGACACACACATACACAAAATTCACACACACACACACACACACACACACATACAAGCCCTCATAATATATATATATATATATATATATATATATATATACATATATATATATATATATATATATATATGCTTGAGGAAATGGACGGCAGAACATAATTTAGGAAACAAAAAGACAGGGATTTATTAAGAGGTATAATAGGACGGGAGATTGTGGAGAGCCATGATCGTAAATGTCCTGAAGAGAGAGGGCACGTAGTAAATAACTTATTCTTTGTTTTTATTTTCTTTAGAAAACTGATCACCTTATAAGAATTTTTTTAAACGCACTAAACGTAAACTGCTCTATATTAATCACTAGCAGCATGACCCGGCGTTGCCCGGGCTTGATTCAAAAATCGTACGACTCATACAGCAATCGCTATCACTTGACTTAAAATATTTTTGCCCTTCCTTGCCTTTAAATGAGTGCCCTTTGCCGTGCTGATGACTCGTAACTGGAAAAACCGAATGAAAAAAAAAATATTGACAACAAATACTTTTTCACACCTAACCCAGTTCTACGGAATGAGAACCAACGTTGAGTTTAAACAAGCGAATGAGCCAATTGGAATAAAGTGCCATGCAGATTTAAATTTTTCCCACTTGTGACGAATGCAGCTATCGATTTTTTGCATGCTAGCTTGCTCGTTAATATTCGTGTCAGTCAGCTGTTGGCTCTCACGCTGGCCAATAGAATCTTCCTGCCTATTCGTGGCAGCCAGCTATAGGCTCTCACTCTGACCAGTAGAAAATGGCCGCAAACTCCATGAAACCTGCCGTAGAAGAAGGAAAAAATCGATTATTTCCACTATCGATGGTAGTTGAGAAATGCAAAGTCGGTCTTGGCCTTCCGGCTAACTTGAAGCGTGTGCATGTAAAATTTAGTGCAAATCCATCGAAAATTGGGGCCGTGCATTCGTTACACACACACACAGACATACACACATCCTGCCTTTTATAGATAGAGATCTGAGAGAATGTACCGTGCGTTCCCTCAGAATGGATGATGCTAACCTCCACAAGAGTGAGTCGTTACTTCTCTCTGAACTAATTTTCTCAGCTGACATGGAGTGGAAAGACTATATCAAATCCCATGCTAGTACAGTTGATCAGAAATCTTGTTCACCCTGTCGTACCAGACAGCTTCCTCTTCAGAATATATCTTGCATATCTATATTTCTACCATTCGTCCTATTTTAGAATATTGCTGCCACAAATAGTCCAGTGCTCTTGCTATCTATCTAGAGTTATTTGATGAAATCCAAAGAAGAATCGTCAATATAATCCTGAATTGGCGTCCCGGATTTAGTCACTTTCCCACCGGCGTGATGGTGCCTACATTCGCCTTTTTTTAAAATTAATTTCATGGAATTTGTTCGAATGAGCTCTTGTCTATGTCTGTGAGTTTAAACCCATATTTGACTGGTGACGATTTCTCACCAATCTACATTTGAGCTGGAAATATATAACTCTCAAATGTTTTTTTCTTACTTCCCGCTTGTGGAACTTCCTTCCAGTTTCATGCCTTCCAAACAATTCGTCCTTGCTTTGAATATTGCTGCCACATCTTATCTGGTGATCCTGCTATATAGTTAAATATACTTGAAAAAAAAAATTCAAAGAAGAATCTGCAATGTTATTGATCCTAACCTGGCATCTCGGTTTCAGTCCTTTTCTCGCCGGATAATGAAGCTCCCCTGTCGCTTTTTCTATGGATACTTTCATGATAATAGTTCTGAAGAATTTTCCTCTTATGTTACTTATACATTATGAATTTAAGCGCCGTACTAGATTGGCGACTAGGTCTCCTCATTTTACAGTTGAAATTCGTTATATATTCGCTAACAGTTTCATCTATCAGAATACGCGCTTGATGAACACCAATTCTGCACCATGCTTTCCAGTCAACATTAATCTACAAAAAATTCAATACAATGTCAATCGATATGATACCACCACGAGTCATTGTGGGCCTGGGAACACCAACAATTAAGAGGTGGTTCCAAGCTCCTCAAAACCTCCTCATCAGAGCCCTTGCTGTCGGATGTAATTTATGGTCTTACCCACGACTAGAGGACATTTTATTGTCATACACAGGAGGTGGCAGGGGATATATATAACATAACAGTTCCACATATTTCTCTTTGTTTCATTCTAATGGAATTTTCCTATATTTTATACTTTGCTTAATTTCTGGATGGCATCTTTTTGCTTTAGTATTTTTTTTTATTAGCCTTGGAGTGGTAGAGGCTGTTAGGGTCAGAGCTATGGACAAATAGTTAACGCACAAACTGCGTTCAAAACGTTTAAAAAGAGGTTTTAATACCAGCAAAACTTCATTGTAAAAAATATTACTAGCAATACTTTTTTTGAAAAGAATATTACCAAAAATACTAAATAAGCAATACAATATTTTTGGCATTAAATAACCCATTAAGGTTGATATGCCGTAAAACAAAACAAACCAAACTAATATATACTAAAGATAGCTAGCTAGCTAGCTAGCTAGATAGATAGATAAAAAATATTACCAGGAATAAAAATATTTTTGGCATTAAATAACCCATTGAGGTTAATATGTCGTAAAACAAAACAAACCAAACTAATATATACTAAGATAGATAGATAGATAGATAGATAGATAGATAGATAGATAAAAAATATTACCAGCAAGAAAAATCTTGTCGGCATTAAATAACCCATTGAGGTTAATATGCCGTAAAACAAAACAAACAAAACTAATATATACTAAGATAGCTAGCTAGCTAGCTAGATAGATAAACATATTACCAGCAATAAAAATCTTTTTGGCATTAAATAACCCATTAATGTTGATATGCCGTAAAACAAACCAAACCAAACCAAATCCCCACCCATCTATGACAATGAAGTCTGAACAATTTTCTTACAGAATATGTAAATAACTTGATGTAACAGAATTTTGTTTACATTCCAAAATAATTGTATCAATATACGCGGTTATTTTTGATCGCTGAATCATTTGAAGACTCTTAACAAATTCCAACTGTGTCTTCGAGGCGAGCGCATGCCGTTTCGTTTCATGTATTTCCGATAGAGGGCACTTATCTTGTTGCGTATTCGGAACATGTTCGCTGTGAGGGTGCAAACGTAGATAGGGTGATTATAAAGGAAATAGGGACAGAGAAAGAAGTTGAAAATGAACTGCAGACTTATGACCGAAGGGAAATAAATGTGAAAAATATCATGTTAAATAAAACAGAAATGTATTGCTTGTAAGAGAAGGGAAATATAATTTTAAAGCAAAGGAAGACATTTATCTTGAAGCAAATATGTCAAGAATGAAAACATTAGTCATATTTCCTGAAAAAAGCAGGCAAAATTAAGGGAAAAAAGAAATATAATTTTTAAGGTGGTCTAGTAAAAAGAAATAAACAAAGCAAAAATAAGAGGAAGGAAAATGATTGACTCAATAAAATCTCAACATCGCTAAAGAATGGAACACTGATGACAAAAAAAAAAAAGGATATTAATGAAACACTAAAGAAATTAGGTAAAAAAGGAAACATTAGAAACCAAAAAATATACAAATAAACCGAGTAAATGTACGAAAGACTAACATTAAAAATTGAGAAAAGAATGAAACATTAATTATAAAACGTAAAAAGAATAAAACACTGAATAAAAAAAAAAAGTATGGAACATTAAAATCCGATATGGCAAGACATGACACTATGAAAAAATTGCGAAAAAACAAAAAAATCGAGGAGAATAAGAAAGAAGAATACAATGAAACATTAAAACAAACATGCGCATATATTTAAAACTAAAAACAGAAAACATGTCAAGCAATGAAAGAAAAAAAAATTAAATAAATCGAACATTAAATAGAAATATGGAAAACGAATGAAAGATGAAATCAAAAACAAATTGGGGAAGTAAAAGAAACAGAAAATGCAAAAGAAGCAGAAAAATGCAAAAAGAAACAAAAAACGCTAAAAGAAACAAAAAACGCTAAAAGAAACAAAAAACGCTAAAAGAAACAAAAAACGCAAAAAGAAACAAAAAACGCTAAAAGAAACAAAAAATGCAAAAAGAAACAAAAAACGCTAAAAGAAACAAAAATGCAAAAGAAAAAAAATGCAAAAAAAAAAAAACGCTAAAAGAAACAAAAAAAATGCAAAAAGAAACAAAAACGCTAAAAAAACAAAAAAAATGAAAAAAAACAAAAAACGCTAAAAGAAACAAAAACGCTAAAAGAAAAAAAAACGCTAAAAGAAACAAAAAATGCAAAAAGAAACAAAAAACGCTAAAAGAAACAAAAAATGCAAAAAGAAACAAAAAACGCTAAAAGAAACAAAAAACGCTAAAAGAAACAAAAAACGCTAAAAGAAAATAATGAGACGAATAAAAAAATGGGAAGTTAAGGAAACACTGAAAAAAAAAACACTGAAAAACAATGGAACAAATAATGTGAAAAGAACATTGGAAAAACATTGGCAAAAAACATTTTAAATGAACGTTTCATAAACATTGGAAAAAAACATTGGAAAAATATTGGAAAAGTCATTGAAAAAAACATTGGAAAATACATTAGGAAAAAATGAGAGAAAACATTGAAAAAAAACATTGTAAGTTAATAAACATTCAAGATAAAAAATGTTAAAAGAAAGACAAATTAAAAACAAATAATGGGAAAAAAATGATAAAACTTGAAAGAAAATAAAAAATGGTAAAATTGAAAGAATAAAAACAATTAATAGAAAACAAATGAAAACGAAGAAGAAAAAATGGGTAAATATTTATTAATATTTATTAATAAAATATGGAAAAAATAAAACACAATATACAAAAAATGAAAATGAGTCAAAACTAAAAACAAAAAATAAACATAATGAAACAGTAAAACAAACAAAATGGGAAAATTAATGGGGCATTAAAATCTAAGTAATGGGAAAATAATGAAACACTAAAAACAAAAAATGGGAATAAAAGTATCGATAAAAGCAAACGTGAAGCACTAAAAATGAATAAAAACTGTAACATTGAAAAAATGGGAAAAATTGTTAAGCACAAAACAAGAAATAGGAAAAGAAGGAAGTACAAATCACAAAAATAGAAAACATAATGAAGCATTAAAAACAAAGAAATGGGAAATAGAACAAACACTAGAGAAAAACATGCGATAAATATGAAGAAATAAAAAAAAATATAGAAAAAATAATTAAACATTGAAAACAAAAATGGGAAAATGTCAAACAGGAAATGGGAAAAAATGTATCATTAAAAATGACGAAAATGGGCCAAATATGCATCACGAAAATGAAGCCTAAAAACAAAATGAATGAAGCCTAAAAACAAAATGACTGAAGCCTAAAAACAAAATGAATGAAGCCTAAAAACAAAATCTGTGAAACAATGAAACAATAGTAACAGAAAATGGCAAAATAACGGAAACTAATATAAAATAAAATATGGAAAAGTCTACATCCACGAAAATAGCCAAGTATATTTACGCATTTGCTTTTCGGGCCAACAACAATGTATTGATTATGAGGAAGGCTATACCGACGATATGGTTATTCATAATTCGAATCAGAATGACCTTGAATTAAAACCAACATTCTCTATAAAGTATTCTTCGAAATAAGAGTAAAATAAACCTTAACAAAACAGAAACAATGTCCAGGAATTGGAAGAAAGGCCGTATAGCGCATAGCCTGAATCTATAGTTCAAATTCAATATGTCGAATTAATAAATAACAATTACCTCGGTATACTGATCACTTTAGAAAATTGAACATAGAATAGGCTGACTGAAGGCCGCAAAATACAACGAAACCAAAATATTAAACAGAAAACTCGAGTAACATTCCTAAATTGCTACATCAGATCGAGGCTTTAAGATGGCCGCCATGTCTAGAGAGAAACACATATATCTAAACGGTCATCTGTACACAAAAACTTTCTATGATCAATTCTTAAAATTTGAACGAGGGATCCTGTGAGTTTTAACGAAGACCATACTTCTTTGAATACGGCGCTACAGAATCATACTGTGCCAGTCAAAATAAACCACATCGCTTGAGGACATTCAACAGTAACAGAATCTAAAATATATATCACATGTAACTCGAAGAGAAAATAATGGCATTATCAAGATATTGATTTTCAACACTCTTTCACCTAAAAGTTTGGAAAGGAAGTCCCCATTTATTCTTGAAAGAGCGATAACATTCAATGGACTTAGAAAACCTATTTTCCTGAAAAATCATATTAAGAGAAGGATTTTATAATTTTCATCGCAAAACAGCTCTAGCTATGAAGGCCGAATGTTTCCTTATCAGGAAACAGCTAATATTACCATTATCGTTAACTTTAAGAGGATAGTGAAACGAGTTTACTTTGAAGAGTTCCCTGATAGAGTATATGTGTGGAGATTAATGAAAGATCTACACGAAAAAGGCAATAGCTGGCGTAACCAAGGCGGACTTTGACAGACTAACCATCCGACAGCCTGATTCAACCATGTTTGCTAGATCTTGTCCGTCTCAAAATGCTCCTTTGAGCCGACAAGGAGGCGCTTCTGGCCAAGTGTGTCGGCATCTCCATCGCGCAGAACTGTCCACCAAAGTCAAATTCCCGCGAATGTCTTCGCCAAACACTCTTTATCTCACAGTCATCTCTGCATCCCCACCACAAAGGGGGGATGGAATAGGGGGATAGGATGACGATCTCGATGATCGGATCCGATCGGGTGCTGACAACAACTAAAAAAAAATGTTTATCGTAAAAATATTGTCTATGTAGGATGAAGATAAAGAAAAGGTTAAATTAACATATATTTAACTTTATGTAGATAAGAGATGATTTTTTTAACCATTTCAGCCAAAGCAAGGCGGTAATGATACTGAGACGTAAGTGAAAGAGAATCATACGACTTTACGAGAAGGAAGCAGAAGCCCAGTCTTAAAGAAAACCTCTTTGTTCACTAGACGGGGAAGGATTGTGAACCGGGCGATAGGCGAACCTATCAACTCCTATTTGTTTTCTTTATTTCATCTGACATATGATTAAAATTACCTCAATATGTTTATAACAGAAATATTTTTCTGGTAGTTGTGTAAAGGAGACGTCCAGATATTGTTTCATTTTATGTATATATGATTTCTTATCTTTATTTAATCTTATCTTGATTTAATATTCATGGGGTATTGGGATGTTTAAAGTTAATAGGAACGGGAAAAATGTGTAAAAAAAAAACATAAAGAGCTGAAAATATTGGAACATAATGAAGAAAGAAGGCTTTATATAATTTACCATTCCCAGACAATTCAAAGACAAGAGTAGCAGTAAGAATCTTCGTGGAAAAAATTAAACAAATGGATGGAGAAAAAAAAGTAGACGCAAACGGAGATTGTCCATAAAGTAAGAATTAATGCTATGAAAAAAGAGAGACAAACAGAGAGAAGTACAGAGAGGGGAAATAAACGAGAAAAATGTAGAATAACGGTAAGTTTTTTTTTATTATACACATAATATAATCACAAATTTAATATGTAATTTTATAAAACATGAACAGCCAGACTATTCGATTTGATTATAGTAAGAGTTTTTACAGAATCAAGCGCACTTTTCAGATATGAATACAGAAAAATAGTGCATATAATGTGTCTCAAGTTATTCAAACGACCCTTCTAT